TGCGCTCTTTGTGCCTCTCTTTTTTTTTTTTTTTTTTTGGTTTTCCAAGACAGGGTTTCTCAGTGGTTTTGGAGCCTGTCCTGGAACTAGCTCTTGTAGACCAGGCTGGTCTCGAACTCACTCCTTTTTTTTTTCTTTAGTTTTTCGAGACAGGGTTTCTCTGTAGCTTTCAAGCCTGTCCTGGAAGTAGCTCTTGTAGACCAGGCTGGCCTCGAACTCACAGAAATTCACCTGCCTCTGCCTCCTGAGTGCTGGGATTAAGGGCATGCACCACCACCGCAAGGTGTCTCCTCCTTTTTTGTATTCCTCTCTAGGGTTGGGATTAAAGGTTTGAGTCATCACTGCCTGGTCTGCAAGGCTGATCAGTGCAGCTGTTTTACTCTCAGAACTTCAGGCAAGCTTTATTTATTAAAATACAAGTGAAATAGCACTACAGGAGGGTTCACTGCTTTCCTTGGTAGAGGCATCTCTATTTGGCTTTTCTAACCATGTTGGTTCTAACTTCACAGGTCAGGGAACCAATGTGGGGACTATCTATCCCAGTTATACCTTCTGGGACTAGGAAATAAACACAGGATGATTTGGGGGCCCACTGGGTCTACTGTAAATTGGACTCCAGCCAAAACTCCATCAATCATCTGACCTTCACAAGTCTATATATTTTTTCCAGGTAGAGTTGTGTTATGTGCCCATTTGTAAGTACCTACCTGACTTGATTATGGATTTATGACTAATAATGTGTTTCCCTTTGTACTGTGTGTCTTAGACTTGGAGGATTGATATACTCAGGGGTACATTTCCTGGACTGTGGCATTCCTGATGTCTTTGTTCATGCTACCCTAACCATGTCAATCAGAATAGCTGCAGGTTTCAGAGATTGGCATCTTCAGGGTACTGCTATCTGTCCCCCAGAGACACACATGCACAAACAGCTCATAGACCTCACAAGGAGCAATGAATTTCCACATCAGACACTTCCTACTTACAGACATACAAAAGGAGCACACAAGCATACATTCTGGAACATATACCAAAGTATCCTTAGTCTTCAATCACTTGGAACTAAACTTATTAGCATGTGAGAGTTTAGTTCCAAGTAACTGAAGACTCTGGGATATAGTCCCTGAAAAACAACAGAGACATATTAGGGTAGCACAATCTCTGGGACCTGTAGCTATGCTAACTGACATGGTAAGAGGGCTTTGTAGATTATTAAGATTCCTGAGAAGGGACAATCCTAGGATATCTGGGTGGTCCAACATGATCCTAAGTGTTACTATATGAGGGAAGCGTGAAAGTGAGAGTTGGAAAAGAGCTAGAAACAGAAATAGGTGAATACAGAGACAGAGACAGGAGGAAGATGCTAAAGGAGAAAAAATAGTGAATGGTGAAACATGGCTGGCTTCAAAGGTGGAGGGGACAGTAAGATACAGAATGTGGGCCTCCTCCTACAGGGGTGAACTGTCCCTAAGAGCTCCAGAGGGAAGTCAGCCAAATTGATTTAAAAAAGCAAAATTAGTTTTTCATGCCTATATCCAAGTCATTTATACATAAACAAGACCATTTGATGTATTTGGTTCTCAAAGTTATTTTTTGATGGATGAGACAGGGCCTTGCTATGTTACTAAGACTGGCCTCAAATCCCTGGGCTCAAGCAATCTTACTGCCTCAGCTTCCTTTACTTTAATTTCAATCATATCTACTAAAACTCATTCCCCTTCTGACCTGAAGAAATATAAAATAAATTTGTGTTGTTTTATGACAAAAATATTGTTTCTGCAAATACAATACAATATTCTAGATTATGGTATGTCTATCTGAGTCCTGGTCCATATCACTGGCTGGGAGCTTCGTCATCTGTACGTATCTGATGATGGCAGTTTCTCATCTCTGGGCTGGAATATGAAGTGATGGATGAGCTCTCTGACTTTTCTGTGGATCTTCATTATAGGATAGCAGGTCTAAGAGCTGTTTCTGGTATTCCTGGCTCCAGATGTCTCTAATAAAAAGATTTAAAATATCAAACACTTCACATACCAGACACCTACCAACACTCTGGAACGTAAATCAAAAAGTCTATCAGAGACTTGAACAAGTCTGTGAATATGTTTCAGAATTGACCTGGTCTATGTAATCAAGGTTCATCTGGAGATTACAATCCTCCCACCTCAGTCTCTCAAGTACTGGGATTAAACACATGTGCCACCATGCTTGACCGGCTCTGGCTGTGGGTTTGTTTTTTTTCCCAGACAGGGTTTCTCTGTAGCTTTGGAGCCAATCCTGAAATTTCCTCTTGTAGACCAGGCTGACCTCAAACTCAGGGAGGTCACCTGCCTCTGCCTCCCGAGTATTGGGATTAAAGGAATGCGCCACCTCCACTTTTTTAAGACAGGATCTCACTATATAGCCCTGGAACTTGCGATGTAGATCAGGCTCAGGCTGGCCTCAAAAATCACAAAGATCCACTTGCCTTTCTCCTTAGTGTATTGAATTAAAGTGGAGTGTGATCACAACCATCTGGCTCTGCTCCTGTGAATACTTTTCCAGGTTGTTAGCACTGTCGTCTTTGTGTCCTTCATGATTATGAGGCGCATGGCTTGTTTGGGAGTATAATACTCAACCTTTTTCATGGGCATGTGCATTCGTGTAAGTCTTTGATCTGTTCTTTGTCTTACTTTTCAAAGTGTGATGTGAGTGGGTGTTTACCCTGAGATAGGAAGTATCTGGTACTTTTGTGTGTTTATGCTCCAGGGATTAGAGCTATGATGTTTGATGCTTATATGGTTCTGAATATTATTCCTCTGAAATGTTTGTGGATATCTATCTCATCTTAAATGGTTTTTGATCCCATATGTCACGGGATGTGAGATTCATTGGGGCATATATTTCCGAGAATTTGAATTCTCTGAGCTCTTTTAATGTCATAGGGGGTGAGATCCCTGATCAGTTTGTTAGTGTTTATGTCTAGCTGTGAGGCCTCATGTAAGATAAATGCATCTTATCATTTGAAGTTATCAGAATTATTTGATATCTTACATCTAGTACAGTCTCTGAATTATATTTTTGAAGTCTGTGTCTTAAATCTTAGGATTTCTGAATCCCAGGTGGTTTTGAGAGTTTTTAATCTGCATCACACAGGTTGAATTCACTGTACTTAAATTGAGGAGCCGGGCGATGGTGGCGCACGCCTTTAATCCCAGCACTCGGGAGGCAGAGGCAGGCGGATCTCTGTGAGTTCGAGACCAACCTGGTCTACAGAGCTAGTTCCAGGACAGGCTCCAAAGCCACAGAGAAACCCTGTCTCGAAAAAAAAAAAAAAAAAAAAAAAAAAAAAAAAAAAAGATTGAGGTGTATAAACTATTTGACCACCAGCGTGCCCCTAAACTTGTTGGTTCGAGTTCCCTGGCCAGTCTAGATATGCTGCCAGGTGTGATATCTTTTAGGTGGTCTGAGTCCCGTAGTGATATACTCGACCTACTAGGGATTTCAAACAAGGTCAACATCCCTGAGCTTCTAATGGGTACGAAGGCAACAAAAGGCACATTTTCTGGACTGTTTGCAGCTCTGCATTTAGTATATAAAATGTCTTAATTCTGCAATAGTCTCTGGATTGGGTTTCTATCAGCTACTCAAAAATCACTAAGTGGTGGCACATGCCTTTAATCCCAGCACTCGGGAGGCAGAGGCAGGCAAATTTCTGTGAGAATGAGGCCAACCTGGTCTACAGAACAAGTTCCAGGACAGCCAGGACTGTTACATAGAGAAACTGTATCTCAAAAAACCAAAAATAAGGTCCCTTTAGGTGAGGTATCAGATTTTCATGATTTTTTTTTGCATTTGTGATTTGGAGCATGGGACATTCCTTGCAACATTTTGTTTTGGTTTTCCAAGACAGTGTTTTTCTGTGTAACAACCCTAGCTGTCTTGGAACTTGCTTTGTTGAGAATACTGGCTTCAAACTTGAGAATCACCTGCCTCTGCCTCCCCAGTACTGGGATTAAACGTGGACCACTACTCCTAGCCCCACTCACTTGAGCTAATAGCACAGTGAACAAGTCTTTTCATGGTGATATGGATTGTTTTGATTTTTCTGAAGTTTCAGGATCTGTTTCTGGAACTTGGTAACAGCTCACTATAACCCTGGCTGTTTCCAAAGTAAAATACTTTGAGGGAATCTTGGCCCCAGAGTATATAATTAGAGGTCTGTTTCGAGGGACTGGGGTTTCTGACCAGTCTGAAATTCTTTCCCAAATTCTGGAGTGTTTGAGGATCTGTGTTCCAGGATTATTTGTCAACTTGTATTTTCACATTGTATTTCACATTGTATTTCACATTGTATGTGTGCCATAGGAGGGTCCACTGCTTAGAGGTTTACATTTTGAGTTTGTGCCCCCTATCACAACAGATAACCTTAGTTGCTATACTGCCTTATTTAACTGTAAAGGCTCCTGACATGTAAGTTCTCAAATCCTTGAGATACTATGCAATTTCTCACAGAAGACAGTAGTTCTGTTTGAGGACCAAATCTCAGACAGTATCTGAGTGGCCACAAAACTTCTACCTGGAGCTATGAGTTAACTGTTATCTCAGAACATGAATGCAGACTCAAAAGGTCTATGCTGAAGCGCGGTGGTGGCGCACACCTTTAATCCCAGCACTCGAAAAAACAAACAAAAAAGTCTATGCTGTGTCCTTAGGTGCCTAGCTCTCTGGACTTGAGTATCAATGAGCCTAATTGTTTTTGTTTGCTTTTTTCTGAGAAAGGGTTTCTCTGTGGCTTTGGAGCCTGTCCTGGAACTAGCTCTGTAGACCAGGCTGGTGTCGAACTCACAGAGATCCACCTGCCTCTGCCTCCCGGCTAATGAGCCTAATTGAGATTATCACCTATATAGCAATCTTTGAGCAAAACAGAAAAGCAGTGGATCACAAACAAGCATGTGAGGTGACTGTGTTCAGCACATATACTTAAAGATTTGCAAAAAATGGTTCCCCCTGCCGGGCGGTGGTGGCACACGCCTTTAATCCCAGCACTCGGGAGGCAGAGGCAGGAGGATCTCTGTGAGTTCGAGGCCAGCCTGGTCTACAAGAGCTAGTTCCAGGACAGGAACCAAAAGCTACGGAGAA